AAAGAGAAGCTTTAAAAAATCTTAAGAAAAACCACAATTTAGTGATCAAGGAGGCAGATAAAGGAGGTGGCACTGTAATTATGAGTAGGGAATACTATATGCAGGAGGCGTATCATATTCTAGGAGATAAAGTCACTTATAAAATATTAGAACAAGATCCTAGTAAGATCTTTTTACAAGAACTTAGAACATTATTACAACAAGGTCTAGACAACAATATAATTTCAATAGACGAATTTAAGTTTATGTTTAACCCTTTCTGTAAAACAGCCATTTTTTATTTTTTATTTTTTACCCAAAATCCACAAGTGCCTTACCTCCCCCCCAGGTCGACCTATCATCAGTGGGATTAACTCCCTCACTTGCAATCTTTCGGAATATGTAGACGCCTTCTTAAAACCATTTGTACCTTTCTGTCCCTCTTATATAAGAGATACTAAGCATCTCTTACAAGATCTACAGACCTTCGAATGGAAGTCCTCCTATTTACTGGCTACAATTGATGTTACCTCCCTATATTCAAACATACCTCACTCTAAGGGATTGGAAGTTATTAAAGATACTTTGACCCAACAGAATAGTCTATGCATACAACAAATAGATTTTTTGGTTTTGTGTATTCAGTTTGTATTGACAAAAAAATTTTTTTGGTTTGATTCAGTCTTCTTTTTACAGCTATGTGGTGTCGCCATGGGGACGAGGTTCGCCCCAAGTTTTGCCAACCTTTATGTGGCCCATTGGGAGTCGCAACATGTCACCTTGGGATCCCACCTTGGGGGGAACCTTGTCCTATGGCGACGCTACATAGATGATGTGCTTATTATTTGGGAAGGCAATCATACCAGCCTTACGGATTTTATTGAGGACATCAATCAAAATGATTATAATCTAAAATTTACTTCTTCAATACATCACGAATCAATAGATTTTCTAGACTTGACTATATATGTCGAGGAAAACACATTAAGAACTAAGACATTTTTTAAAAAAAACCGACTGCAATACTGCAATTAAAAACAATAGTTTACACCATCCACTATGGCTGGACAATATCCCCAAGGGACAAATAATCCGTATGAGAAGAAATTGCTCTACTACACATTCTTTTGAAGAGCAATCTCGAATCATACAAAATAGATATGTGGAGAAGGGATATAATAAGAAACGAATTGATCTGGAGATACAGAATATCAAAACAAAGAATCGATCTGAATTTCTAATAGATAGACAAAAAGGGAATCACAATAAAGGAAAGTTTGAATTTGCATTCACAACAAAATACAACACACATGCAAAAAAGATCGAAAATATTTTAAAAAAACATTGGGCAATCCTTAAACAGGACGAAGTGCTAGGCCAGGTTTTACCAAACAAACCCCTGGTCATATATAAGAAAGCCGATAATTTAAAATCTCAACTGGCCCCCAGCCTTTTATATACTAATAAACCAAAGAAACATTTTTTGGAATCATCAAAAACTCCAGGTTTCCATAAATGTGGAAAGTGTTCCACATGTATAAACTTAGACAAAAAGATTGTCGATTTCAAAGGCACATACACCCAAAAAACATATCAAATTAAAATTTTTTTACATTGTACCACTACATATGCCATATATCTGCTCCAATGTGGATGTGGGGCACAATATGTAGGTAGGACTACCCGTCAACTACATATTAGGTTCAGAGAACATTTCCTTAATATAAGAAACAAAAAAATGGATCACAGTGTACCTAGACACTGTAACACATGTAGTTCTTTTGAATGGTCCACCTTTTGTGCCTTTGGAATCGATAGGATAGATGTACACTGGAGGGGAGGTAACAGAATGCAAGAGCTAATTAAAAAAGAAGCAGAATGGATATACAATTTAAGAACACTTAAAACCGGTTTAAATCAAGATATTGATTTAACTGGTCTAATTTAATGATATACAAATTAATCCAATAATTATCCTTCTTCCAAAATTTCTTTTTCTCTTTTCTATATCCTGGTCTTATTGATAGTAGTTTGAAATTTGTCTATATTTACCTATATAAGTTCCACATCTGGATATATTGTATTATATGTACTATATGGATATTAATGCTTATCTCTATCTTATAGATGGATGTTGAACTCATTACACTTTATATTTGCATATTATCTAATTGTATTTATTTAATTATTGTATTTGAGAGTGCTATATTATGCGAAAAAAAAAAAAAAAAAATTATATATATTTTGTAGACTATATATATATATATACTATCTTTGATATATGTTCAGTTATTATTAATATTTGTACATCTGTTCCCATTGTACATTGGATTGGGCTACAATGATATTATATATTTGTTTTTTCAAATTTGTACCCTTTTGGGGTTTCATGTATATAACAATCATGCATTCTGATATTACAGAATATACATTGTACTATTACTCCTTTTTTATAATGTCTTACATGTCATGTTTAAATATGACATGTTTTAATCTGGTCCATATTATATAACATCCATTTAGTCCTTTATAGTTATTCTTTTTTATTTTATGCAGATTTTTAATGCTTTATAATTTTCATGGCATACAGACTTCTTTTTCTGTCCCATATTTGTATAATGGGAACTGATTGTTGCCCCAGAGGGGAAGCCTTTTCTGCTGCACTTCTATTAGTGCTAGCAGAAGAGGGCTCCCCTCGATCGGATTAGATCCGAAACCGGAAGTGATGTCATGCGTTCCAAGGTGGAACGCAAGAAGCCCACTTGATTGGATGAGACCGGAAACCGGAAGTGACGCTATGCGTTCCAAGGTGGAACGCAGGAAGTCTAAGGGCCGAAAACCGGAAGTAACATGTGAATTTCCCCGCGAATTTGAAAATTGGCATGATATATAAACCATGAAGATTACAACACATCTATATCCCTGAGGAAGTCACCATAGTGACGAAACGCGTTGGATACTACTTTTGGACTTTTTATGCTAATATACAGCTGTTATTATAGTCCATTTGTTATTTTTATTTATTTTATTTTATATTTTTTTAATTTTGTGTACCTCCATTTTGGGATCTCTCTCTACTTTCACCTGGAGACCCGGCCATTACTTCATTATGGAGATATGCTGTCTTACTTCTGATTTCTTGTAAGTGCAATATTTGGAATAAATTTTGTTATTTTTATACAATCTGCACTATCTATATTTTTTCTTTTGTTCCTGAGCTGAAGGAAAAAGGGATATTTTATTCCTGAGCTGAAGAAAAAGTGATATTGTCAGTCCTCGCCATATATATTCGGTCTCCAATGTGGAAAGTACCCCTGACAGGATGACAGGCGTGATTACTACTCCCTTCTTGTAAGTTTTCTACCACGTGCAAATCCAATTTTGCCTAACTTACTTCACTATATTTTGTATTTTGCTATTTTATAGATTCCACGTTCATTTTCAGCCATATTCAGGTTGTATTGTTCTCAACCACCCTCTATTTGTATATATCACCTTTGGGTTTTTATATATACGTCCTTGTGTTTATTCATTAAAAGCAGACTAGCTGCCTGCCAGACATCCATATAAGGCATGGGACAAGAGTGGCATTCTGACTGATTGGTCTCCCTTTACCCATGGTCTTAGTACCCCGCTAATGAGGCTCCACAGATAATTATGTTATATCCATGTACCATAATTATCCTGTACTGTACAGCTCTATGGGCTTTCCAGAATAAATCAGATTTGTGCTCTACTCCCAGTATGCCAGTCTCGTCTGATTCATTCGAGATCTACAAGAGCAATTCACTGTAGCATCATATGTTATGTTAAAAGCTAAATTACACTAGAGCTGATTACCGTATGTTGAGCTGTTTAAGAGTCACTGCTAAAGACGGAGACATGAGCAATCTGTGATCAGCATCCTGGTGCATTTAATTTTTAAAATTCAAAGAAAAATTCACAAGCAAAATTACATAGTATCTCATGACATTAGCCGTATCCTGGAGGCCTTCACATAAATAATTTGAAGAAATAATATAACGCAGATCTTCATGTTTAATGCTTAAATGGCACTTCACTTTGTTTATGTAGTCTGTAGTCAGATCCACAGTAGCGATGGTTCATTACATTGGGGACTTTTTAAGTATATCCATGTAGGATTTGTGGGGATATGTTGCGGTTTTGGGGTGTTTCTGGACTTTGGGTAAAACTGGATATTTTCTGTCTGTGGTAATTGAGTTAGTCCATTGTGTTTGGTAATTGTATCACAGGCAGGGTTTGTGTACATTAGCTGGGAGTGTCTAACTGTACAATACTGTGTTGATTGGCTGTTGTGACTTTGTGTCCTGTGCTCCACAAGGTCCACGTGGGTGGTAACCTTGTGGGGAAAACTGTATATAAGAAATGCCTTTGTGATCATTAAACCGGTTCTACTTCACCCTCAATTTAGAGTCCTGTCTCTTATTGGGGGAAACAGCTACAAGGGATTGCTATGCTCTTCATACTCCCTTGGATAATCACTAAGCTCTTTTAAGAGCTTGTTCCTGCTTCACTCTCTGGGGAAAGAGGTTCACCCACTGGAACCTGGAGCCTTGTCGTAGGTCCAGGGTGGGTAGGAGACGACGAGACCCCAACCAAGCTGCGGCAGTACGTGGGGTCTGCGGTGGTTATGGTCTCTGGTGGAGTGCTTGGAACCCTTAGGAAGCGCTAGGAGCATCCTTCAACGGAGGTAGCCAGTCGGGGTGCCAGGTGATCCGTTACAGTCGACTAAAACAATTCAGATGACTAAAACTAAAATGGCTTTTTTTTATAACTAAAACTGAATTGAAATTTGCAGAGATAATTAACACTGCACAGAGGGGTTGTGGAAGGTAAAGCGAGAGACCAGGGCCTGGGAGAGAGACACCTAGGGGGCTGGGAAGACACAAAGAGAAACATAGTGGCTGGGGAAGGACCAGGGCCAGATTAAGAGCTCAGTGGGCCTGGTGCTGACAATTATGATGGGCCTTACCAGAAAATCTTATTGACCAAAAACACTAAAACAGTTCTACCTCCTAAGCGTCATGTATCTGATGGAGATGGTGCTGGAGGAAAACTCATAGGATGCAGCTATGAGAAAACACATACCCTATACTAATCTCACGCTTTCATATTTCAAGTAAACCCATACCCCCTAACAGCAGTGTCCAGAAAAGCAGGAAGTCTATGGATGGAGTAAAAGGGTGGGCCACTGACAAAAAACACATAACCAGAACTGCTGAAAGGGGCGAACATACACAAAAAGGGGGCATGTCTGTGTCCCCATGTCTCCCAGTCCCTTAGTGTCTGTGTCCCCATGTCTACAGTGCCCCCGTGTCACTAGGGAGACATTGAGAGACATTGGGACACTGAGATACTAGGGAACACTGGGAGACCTGGGGACACAGACCCTTGGGAAAACTGGGAGACATGGGGACATTGGGTGACTTTGAGACACGAGGGGAAACTGGGAGACATGGGGCACTGAGACACTGTGATACATAGGGGACACTGTGATATATAGGGGACACTGGAGACTTGATAAGACCTGGGTACAGATCAAAACATTGCGGTGTCCAATAAACCTGCTTAAATCTATCACAGTGAGTGCCTGAGATTTTTTTCTTTTATACTAGAGGACACTGAGACACTTTGGGGCACTGTGAGACAAGGGACACTGGGAGACTAGGGGATTCTGAGAGACTACTGGACACTGAGACACTAAGGACACTGGGAGACATGGGGCACTGAGACACTGTGATTCACAGGGGACACTGATACATAGGGACACTGAAGACTTGATAAAGACCTGGGTACTGGTCGAAACGTTGCGGTGTCCAATAAACCTGCTTAAATCTATCACAGTGAGTGCCTGATATTTTTTCTTTTATACTAGGGGACACAGACACTAGGAGACATGGGGACACTGGGAGACTAGATGTAGCGTTACTTACCTTAACCGGGGGCCGGTCGCGGTCCTCTCTTCAAGCCGCGCGCGGTCCTGCGGCTGCACGAGCCGCGCGCGGCTCATCTGACTGCTTCAGATGGAAGGCGGGCAGTGACCGCGTGAAGCGGTCACGTGTCCCGCCTGAAACTAAGAGCGCGCCGCGAGTCTCGGGCGCGCTCTTAAAGAGACAGTGGGAGCCTAATTGCCAAAAGGCTCCCATTGGCTCCTGTCATACCACACTCCCTGTACAATTACCTATAGGGGGTGTGGAAGTGACAGGAGCCAATCACTTTCGTTTTAAAGCTATTTAAACTTACCTTTTTCCCTTAGCTCGTTGCCCTATCGTGGTTTCTGTTTCAGTTCCCTTTAGCGCTTGTGGTGTTCAGTTGTGTTTTCTCGTATTGACTTTGGCTTCGTATTCTGACTTCGTTTTCGCTTTATCCTTATCTGTACTGTTTGCCGGCTTGCTGTTTTCCGTGTACCAGACCCCGGCTTGTCCTAGTTTACGCTGTCTCTCTGTGCCCTTGACCTCGGTTTGTTCCTGGCTCTGTCTCCTCTCATATACGTCGAGTCCGGCCATTCTAAGGTCCGGTAGACGTATCTCTCCTCTGTATTTGCCTCTGTTTAGCTGGATCCTGCGTGTAGGGGTATATTCTCGTTACATTACGATAGGGCCATGGACCCCGCAGATTTAGCTCAACAGATGGCGTCCCATGAGGCAAGATTTGTAGAGCAGGATCACCGTATGGATCAAATAGCTCAGGCTCTCCAGACGCTCCTAGCTAGAACCGTTCCAGCAACTACACCTAACCCTCCTACGCCCCTTCTCCCTGAAGTATCTACTTTGCCTAATACTTCGGCCCATTTAACACCTCCTCCTAGGTATGGAGGGGACTCTAAGACTTGCAGAGGGTTTATTAATCAGATTGAATTTCACTTCGAAATGTATCCACGTTCATTTCCCACAGAGAGGTCTAAGGTTGGGTTCTTTATGCACCAACTTACCGATAAGGCACTTGAGTGGGCAAATCCTATTTGGGAAGCTAATGGACCTATGGTACATGATTTCAACAGTTTTCTTACGGCTTTTCGTAGAACTTTTGACACAATGAAAAGGTCAAAGAATGCCGCGAGAGCATTAATGAGAATTAAACAGGGTTCTAGGTCTGTGGCTGATTATGCTATTCAGTTTCGCACTCTTGCTTCGCAGGTAGATTGGACCAACAATGGGTTAACTACTGCCTTTATGGAAGGTTTGTCAGATACGATATTGGATGAGGTAGCAGCTAAGGAGCTTCCTATTGCCTTAGAGGACCTTATCGATTACCTCATTGATATTGATAATAGAATTCGTGACAGGCTCTATACCAAGAACAGGAATAGACGTTTTGTTACACCCATTAACCCCAGAGTTAATATACCAGAGAGTGTTAAAGTGTCTGAGGAGGAACCTATGCAATTAGGGGTTGCCAAACTCTCTGATACTGAGAAATTACATAGGAGAAGGGAGGGACTCTGCCTATACTGTGGTAGGAGAGACCATATGGTAAAGGAATGTCCTTTACTCCCGGAAAACTCTCGCACCTAAGACCTTATAGGGGACTGGCCTTGGGTGTGATATCTAAGTCTCCTAAATTGCCTCCTAACCGCTTGCTTCTCCCGGTTTCTTTATATATGGGAGAGATTTGTATAGTTGACAACATATATGCTCTGGTTGACTCTGGGGCAGCTGAAAATTTTATAGACTCTGGCTTTATAAAGAGAAACAACATTCCCATCAGAGAGAAGGAGATACCCTTGGCCGTTGAGGCCATAGATGGTAGACCATTAAGTTCTCCAGTTGTTACTCATGAGACTATACCATTACACATGTACACAGGGGTTTTACACTATGAAACCATTCGATTCCAGGTCATCACCTCTCCCTCTTCACAGTTAGTATTAGGGTATCCATGGTTACGTGCTCACAATCCCATTTTTGACTGGGAGACAGGGCAAATAAAATCATGGAGTGAGGCCTGCCACGAGTCTTGTACGTTGGAAGTCACCCCTTTGAATTCTATTGAGGTACCTACCAGTCCTCCTTTGTCTACGGTTATACCCCCTCAGTACTTATCTCTAAAGACTGTTTTCGATAAAAGGGAGGCTGAGAAATTACCGCCTCACAGACCCTATGATTGCGCTATTGACTTGTTGCCTGGCACTATACCTCCAAAGGGCAGGGTGTACCCCTTATCGGTTCAAGAAAACCGTGTCATGGAGGAGTACATCAAGGAATCACTAGAAAAAGGGTTTATTAGGAGATCCTCTTCTCCAGCTGGAGCAGGGTTCTTCTTTGTATCGAAGAAAGAAGGTGATTTAAGACCGTGTATAGATTATAGAGGTCTAAACAAAATCACTATCAAAAATGCATACCCTATACCTTTGATTACAGAATTATTTGACAGGCTGAAACATGCCACTGTGTTCACTAAATTAGACCTTAGGAGTGCATACAATTTGATACGTATAAAGGAAAATCACGAATGGAAGACTGCATTCAACACTAGATCCGGTCATTACGAATATACTGTTATGCCATTTGGGCTTTGCAATGCCCCAGCAGTATTCCAAGAATTTATTAATGATGTCTTGAGAGATTTTATTCACACATTTGTTATCGTATACTTGGACGACATTTTAATATATTCTACAGATATACACACTCATCACAGACATGTTACGACAGTTTTGAAGACCCTTCTTGCTAATGGTCTTTATTGCAAGCTAGAAAAATGTCTGTTTGACCAAACCGAAGTCCAGTTCTTGGGGTATTTGATTTCCGCTAAAGGTTTTCGTATGGATCCCCAGAAGCTAGCTGCTGTAATAGAATGGCCTCTACCGCAAGGTCTGAAAGCTATTCAGCGTTTTCTTGGGTTCTCCAATTATTATAGACGTTTTATCAAAGGTTTCTCGTCCATTGTAGCACCTATTACCCGTATGACTAAAAAGGATGGCAATACTCGTGTTTGGTCTACCGAGGCACTTCAGGCTTTTGAATTTCTTAAAACTACGTTCGCCTCTGCACCTATTTTACAGCATCCTGTCCCCTCACTGCCCTATATTCTTGAAGTTGATGCTTCGGATATTGGGGTAGGTGCTGTCTTATCCCAAAGAGAGTCGCCTGAAAAGCCATTGCATCCATGCGGCTTCTTTTCTAAACAAATGTCCAAAGCAGAGAAAAATTATGATGTGGGTAATCGCGAACTCCTTGCTATTATTTTAGCACTTAAAGAGTGGAGACATTTGTTAGAAGGAACTAAGGATCCTATCCTCATTTTTACGGATCACAAGAACCTATCCTACCTTAGCGAAGCCAAAAGATTGTCTTCCAGGCAGGCTAGGTGGTCACTATTTTTGTCCCGTTTCAATTTTATTATCACCTATAGGCCAGGTGATCGCAACACTAAAGCAGACGCTCTGTCCAGACAGTTCGAAACTACTGACAAACAGGAGATTGATGTTACTCCTGTCATTTCCCCAGACAGGATAATAGCTACTACTATTTTGTCTATTTCCTCGTCCCTCTTGCAGGCCATACAAGCGAAACAAAGCATGGCACCTAGCGAGAGGCCTAATGATAAACTGTTCGTTGATGTTCCTGAGAGACGGGATATTATGTCATTATATCATGATACTAAGACCGCTGGACATCCTGGTATTTCCAAAACGGTGTCAGCTGTTTCTCGGTATTTTTGGTGGGATTCCTTACGAAAGGATGTCACTGACTATATAAGTGCTTGTACTACTTGTGCCTGTATGAAATCCTCCCGTAGAGTTCCTTGTGGGCTGTTGCATCCGTTACCCGTTCCCGAGAGACCTTGGTCTAACCTGTCCATGGATTTTATTGTTGAATTACCCCCTTCAAATGGTAACACAGTGATCCTGATGATAGTGGATCGGTTCTCCAAAATGGCTCACTTCGTGTCTCTTCGCAAGTTGCCCACATCCAAGGAACTGGCTCATATCTTCGCTAGAGAAGTATTTCGATTACATGGGATTCCCGTATCTATTGTATCCGATAGGGGTAGCCAATTTATTTCCAGGTTCTGGAGGGCCTTTTGTTCAGAAATGGGTATTTCTCTCTCATTTTCTTCCGCTTATCATCCCCAGTCTAATGGGGCTGCTGAACGTGCCAACCAGTCTCTGGAGCAATACCTCCGTTGTTTTGTGTCTCACCATCAGGACAATTGGTCTGACCTGCTTCCTTGGGCTGAATTTGCTCGGAATAACGCCACTCATGATTCTTCCGGCAAGAGCCCTTTTTACGTTGTCTATGGCCAGCATCCCGTTGTTCTTCCGGCTGCATTCTCCTCACAGGGCATGCCAGTTCTGGATGAGCATTTGGCTGGTTTGCGTAATACTTGGGAGCAGGTTCAGCGTTCTTTGGTGGACTCTGCTACTCGCCAGAAGGCTCAGGCTGACAAGCATCGCAGAGCAGCTCCGTCCTATGTTGTGGGGGACAGGGTTTTGCTTTCCACGCGGAATATTCGTCTCCGGGTGCCTTCTATGAAATTGGCTCCCAGCTTCATTGGACCTTATCGTATTATACATAAGGTTAATCCTGTTTCTTATGCCTTAGGCCTGCCTAAGAATCTACGTATTCCTAATGTTTTTCACACCTCATTGTTGAAACCTTTCGTACGCAACCGCTATACCCGGCATACTCCTCCTCCCCCTCCTATC